CCAACACCCCTATTTTTCTTACTCACAACCTTCTCAAACGGCACTTCAACATGGGCAGAATTACCCCCCCAGCTAGACCTCCATATTCTGCTCAACAATCTGCCCAGAATTTCGGTCTACATGCTGTCCAGAATTTTGTCCAGATTTTCGACCAAGTTGCTGGTCTTTTTCGCCATCCCTAGCCAAATCATTTTGTTCCTCAATTTGTTGTAGCATACCTGCAGCCTTATCAATAGGTTTTTGAGCAATTGGGACAGATTTGCCATCGTTTCCAACCTTCCTTAGATAGGAAATAGCAACCTTTCCTTCGCCTTTCTCCCCATCAGAATTTTTGTTGTTGCACCCCGTGGTCGAGTGACCAAACACCTTACAAGAACCACAAAACTTTGATTCATGTTCGAATACAATTTCTTGCTCCCTCAACGTGCCATTGGGGAGTCTAACCTTTACCTCCTGAACAAGATCAATGGAGACATCAACTTCCACAAGTGCTCTCGCAGAGAAGATACAACCCCTAGTAGCGGTCACTTTGTCCATTGAGATTGGTTTCCCAACCATAGAGACAGTTTTACTCAATACATTAGCGTTCCAAAATTCCAAGGGAAGACCCAGCAAATTAATCCACACCGGCATTGTACTAACATCTTTGTTGTTGAAATCAAAATAGCGGGGTATCATTTTAAGCATGAGCGGTCTCCCGTAGACTAAGTATGGGCCACCATGTAACACACTTAATCTTTCATAATCGGCATCAAACTTGAATACCAACCAACCACTAGCGTGAACGTAATATTTATAGTTCACCTTCCAAGAATCACATAATTTGAGTAACGCAACTTTCCCCGGAAACCTACCGGCAAAGTATCCAACCAAACCATATCCCCATGAATTTTCAATATCATTTTCATCACATTCCCCCCAACTCAACTTCCTTCGATTGATTATGGAAAGTTTTTAACTTGATATTTTCCTCAAGTTTACGGTTATCCTTGAAAAGGTTAACCCATGGGGTTTTTTTCTCGATACCTCCATCAACACTCTTCGCATTTTCAGCATTTTTATTCAACAATTCAGCATTTTCCGACTAAAAATCAGAATGTTCAGAAGTTGTGTCATCATCACCAAGAGTTAAGGAGACACTTGGTGAAGGCATATTAATTAGCTTATGCTCTCCCCCATCAAGAGTCGAAGTAGAAGCATCACATACCTCATTAGTATTCTGCCGACCAGATTGAGTAACGAGAGGGACCGACCCAGATTTTACTTTCTTCTTCCCCATAATAGAACACACAGCCAAGAACAAAAATAACCAAAGGCAGAAATTTTGTTCCCAACAAACCGGCAGAAATAATCACCCAGCCAAATGGAAATTGACGTCAAATTGGGTCCCCAGTTGGACCAGTAGAAGTTAAACAAAGAAATCCAACAACCAAGAGCCCAAAATCGGACCAAAAGAGGAGGATTAGGCCCAAAGACAGGAAATAACCAAAGGCAGAAAATAATCACCCAGCAAAATATAATTTGACGTCAAAATGGGTCAGCCACAACCCGATCCAGAAGCAATAAGCCCAAAAGCCCAGCAAAATACGGCCCAATAGAATTGTGACTTAATCTCATTGAATTCATGCAATGTAGGTGTTTCTATGGAAATAGTGGAATTCAGGAGAAGAGAGCCGAAAAAGGACTAAAATGAAGCAAAGTGATAGTTCAGGGACAAAGGATGCAAATATTCGAAAGTTGAACTAAAAGACAACTCGGGAATGCAAATATGCTAAGTATGAACTCGAAAGCAATACAAGATGATTGGAAGAAGAAGGAATTGCAAAGGGACTAAAATGAATTAAACTGAAAGTTCGGGGACCAAGTTGCAAATAATTCATAGATGAGACGGGAAATGGAATGAAGATTCAAGAGTGTTAGAGGTCAATCGGATGAGGAAAGGAGTCACGAGGTGAAATAGGGTCGAAGTATTATCAAGTATCAACTTTCAGGCGAAAAAGCTATGCTCGTGATTTTTAGTATGTACTTGAGATCCATTTTTGACATAGTAAACATCAGAATTTGAGGAAGCCTATTTCTATCAAAAGTGTAGATCTTTGAGTTTTCTTCACAATTCACTTTGAATCACTTCAATTGGAGATCAGGAGAGAAAGTTATAACCAAAATACTAAAAGTTGTCCAGCGGAATGAATTGTATAACTATGCGGTCGCATAGTATAAATTCTATGCGGTCGCATAGAAGCCTCCCGAGAACTTTTTCTCAAATTTTTTTACTCTATGCGACAGCATAGAAATGTACTATGCGGTCCCATAGGTATAATCTGGGGGCCGTTTTGCAGTTTCCTTATACGATTGAAACTCCTTTGGTAACCTAATTTCCACGCGATTTAAATACGAAAGAACGTCCAGAAGAGGGGGAGAACGTAATTGGAGGCACAAAAACACAATTTTGGAGGATTTGGAGAGGAAGAACAAGGCAAAAACAAGGCAATCCACTTCAAGATTCAAGATTTCACTTTAAGAATCAATTGGGTGATATTCTTCCTTTGTTTTAATTGTTGTTTTTCTTTATTTCCAATTATGTTAGGCTAGATTTTCATGTGCTAGGAGATCGATGTACCATGTGATTTGAGTTTTATATTTCTAGTTTTGCAATTAGAAATATAGGCCGGTGGTATGTAGAAATAGGTTTGATACATCTCGAGAGAGAGTATTGGATAGACTTAGGAATATTGATTCGTCAACAATTGAATTATGTTGTCATATTGTGAAACTAGAGTTTAAAGTGATAATTGCATGGGAAATCGTGATCCTAGTGTGTTTAATTTCTATTGATTACAACAAACGTGCGTTCTCAATAATTGATTTCATTTTAAAGTTTTAAATTATTGTTTTACTTATTAATTTCATTACAATCATAAAAGCTGCATAAGTAGGGTTTTTCTTTCCAATTTTAGAGTTTTAATTAGGTCCACATTCATTTTGAGTAATTTGGTTTCGGTTAAGGTCGAATAAGTAAAATTGAACTAACCAATCTCTGTGGGACGATACTCGGACTCATTCAATCCACTTTATTACTTGTTAACGAACCGTACACTTGCGGTAATTTAAATCGAAAGAAAATATTTCGCGAACAAAGGTCTAATAAAACTGTCCAGAAAAGGCCCAACGAACAGAAATTGAGAAGTCCAGCAAAAACTTAAAAAATCGGCCCAAGAAGAGGAACTAGGACCGGCCCAATAAGTAAGACCAATAAGGCCCAACAAGGATGGCCCAATGAAATAAAAGATGGCCTAATTACAGAACCCAGCAACCAATCGAACAGCCCAAGAAGAAGAGGGAAGAAGTCCAGCCAACAAAAATGAAATGAAACAGCCTAAACCGTCCAGCAAAAGAATAGAAACAGCCCAATGCAAGTCCAAAAGAGAACCAACAAAAGAACTGGCCCAAACAACAGAAGAACAGCCCAGCAACCCAATGAAACCCAACCCAAGCAAAAGTCAAACGGGTCAGCCACCAACCCTCCGAAAATGTTACACCAAAATAGCAAAAAACAAAAGGTAGAAGCTGCATAGCAGGGGATAACACTGAACGAGGCAGGAAGTCAGATGGAAGCCTGACCAAATTCAAAAACCAATCAAATGTGATATGCAAAATTGCTTACACAATACATACACACAATAGCCGTGAAGAACACCAAGAACCGAACTACAGGAAGCTGGATGAAACAAACCACTACCCGGCTGAAAACACAGCAAGAGCATAGCAAGAACACAAAATGAACTGGAGATGGAAAAGAGAAAATCGGCCAGCAGGATAAAACCAAGCAGCTCAAAAACTGAACCAAATAATCAGTCCACCGAATCTAGAGATAAAAATCGGCTAGCAATAGAAATCGAAGAAGGAATAGAGAACCTCCAGAAAAATCGAACAGCAACAATGAAGTTGCCAACAGAAATAAACCCAGAACTGAGGATTTCCAGCAAGAAGAACACCCACAACCAAGCTGAAGCAACCAAGCAAAACAGAAATCCAGGTTGCAAGGACCTGGCCGACCACTAAAACCCCAAAACTGACCTGAAGTAAACTGAAATCCAGAGAGGCCGAGCAAGCCAAGGATGACCAGCAGAGCCTCAATCCACTACAGCACCAGGTTTGTACGAGATAATACCAACAAGAATGAAACTGAGGAACCCGAACCAGAAAGAACTAACATGGCCAGAACAAAACCTGAACTTGGAGCTATGAAGGAGACGAAAATGGCAACTGAAAACCTCCAAAACTCACAAAGAGCAGACCATAAGCAGAACCAATATGTATTAATTCAATTTTCACTAATGATAAGTAAAAAATCAAAATAAAACACAAGAAGAATCACTAGAAAACTCAAGAACCCAAGTGTGCACCAAGTGGGAATTTCTCTCACTAGGTTGAGGGATTATTATTATTATTATTATTAGTAGTAGTAATAGTAGTAGTAGTAGGGATGGGATGTGGATGCTGGTTAACGAACTCCACCTTTTTCCATATGAAAAGTTCTTATTGGTTTCACCACACCTAAGTGGTCTTGGCTAATTTAGTATTCCACCGTTTCATAAAAATAGGATTGCTTCATTTATTACACAGATTAAGGATATTTTGGAATCATGCAAAAAAATACATCTCTCCTCATGATTATATACACCTTTAGATGTTAGTATGTTAAGGAGTAAACTCGATAGACCAAAAAGCAAGGATATAACCAAAATTCGTAATCATTGAAAGTATCAAAATAAAACTTTTAGATGTTAGTATGTTAAGGAGTAAACTCGATAGACCAAAAAGCAAGGATATAACCAAAATTCGTAATCATTGAAATTATCAAAATAAAACTTTAATCTTTTTTTGATTTAAGGAAATGCAACCCACGAATAGAACATTCTTGTAGATTAAACCAAATTAGTTGTCTTGTCCAAATCTTGATTTCAATCCATAAACAATTATTGATCAAATCAAACAATTGAAAAATCGAAAACAATCGTCAAAATTGAAAAGAGCAACAAACTCGCACAAACTTCTTTATAACGACTCACCAAACATACGGCACAGCAGGAAGTTGGATTTAAGCGTAAGAAAAACCATCCCCACCTTGCCTCCTGTCGGCACCCACCGCACCCCACTGCATTTTAGACTGACGAGGAAGAAGGTAAATTGAATCAAACTCTAGTCAAATGCAATAGTGAATATGGAAAATTCAACTCAAATGTTAGTCCAAGATCGTGCAAAACCCAAAAATAATCAACCCAGAGGCAGACCAGTTTTAGCTTCGAATCGATTTTCTGAGCCCAAGAATCTTGATTTTTCCGCATGGGTTTCGGAAAATCTGTACAAAATCCTCACAATCTTTCTACTTATAACCACCGTGGCTGCCCTTTTCTTCCTCCGTAATTATGGCGCAGCAGGCGGTGATACTGCCGCTCTCCTCTGCCTCCAGTCTACTCAGTCTCAGTCGATTCGCCCCAAGTTCCCAGTTATCAATTGGAAATCCATTCCTCGCATTGTTGATAAAATCACTCCTTATGCGAATTTCCGATCCGATAAATGGATCGTAGTATCTGTCTCCGATCAACCCTCTGATTCGCTGCGGAAACTGAATAGTATTAAAGGTTGGCAAGTGCTTGCGGTGGGAAATTCCAAAACCCCAAAAGACTGGAGTCTCAAAGGTACGATTTAGTATTGAATTATAACCTTTGTTAACCTGCTAGCCAGAATGTGAATTTGTTGAGCTGTCGATGAGATTTTTAATTGATTAGAATTTTAACTAATAAGTGATCAATTTGTGTCAAAGGACTGAACTTTACATGAATTTGTGAAATATTTATTTATATTTTTTACTCATCCCGGATGATTAATGGAGTCCTTTAGGAGTTTGATGTTCTTATTTTTATCGTTTCAACAGGTGCTATTTATTTATCTTTAGAAGTTCAAGCTCAATTGGGATTCAGAGTTGTTGATTATTTGCCATATGATTCATATGTGAGAAAAAATGTTGGATATTTATTTGCAATGCAACATGGTGCAAAAAAGATCTATGATGTTGATGATCGAGGAGATTTAATTGATAATGATATTGGGAAACATTTTGATGTTGAATTGATTGGTAAAGGTGCTAGGCAAGAAGTTATTTTGCAGTATAGTCATGAAAATCCTAACAGGACTGTTGTGAACCCTTATATACATTTTGGCCAGCGGTCTATTTGGCCACGGGGGTTGCCCTTGGAAAATGTAGGGGAGATTGGGCACAATGAGTTTTACACGGAGGTTTTTGGTGGGAGACAGTTTATACAACAAGGGATTTCAAATGGGCTACCAGATGTGGATTCGGTTTTTTACTTTACTCGGAAACCAGTGTTGGAAGCATTTGATATTAGATTTGATGAGCATGCCCCGAAAGTGGCATTGCCACAGGGTATGATGGTACCTGTTAATTCATTCAATACTATTTTCCATTCATCTGCTTTTTGGGGTTTGATGCTTCCGGTTTCGGTTAGTTCGATGGCTTCTGATGTGTTGAGAGGGTATTGGGCACAAAGGCTTCTGTGGGAAGTCGGTGGGTATGTTGTGGTGTATCCTCCTACTGTTCATCGGTATGATAGGATTGAAGCATACCCTTTTTCAGAAGAGAAAGATCTTCACGTGAATGTAGGCCGGTTAATCAATTTCTTGGTGGGATGGAGATCAAATAAGCACAGGTTATTTGAGAAAATTCTTGAACTAAGTTATGTGATGGCCGAAGAAGGATTTTGGATGGGAAAAGACGTGCAGTTTACTGCTGCTTGGCTTCAAGATTTGCTTGCTGTTGGTTACCAACAGCCTCGGCTGATGTCTCTCGAGTTGGATAGGCCGAGAGCAAATATTGGCCATGGAGATAGGAAGGAGTTTGTCCCTCAGAAACTACCGTCTGTGCATCTTGGTGTAGAGGAAATTGGAACTGTGAATTTTGAAATTGCGAATTTGATACACTGGAGGAAGACTTTCGGGAATGTAGTGCTTATAATGTTCTGCAGTGGACCTGTTGAACGAACTGCTTTGGAGTGGAGATTGCTATATGGCAGGATATTTAAGACAGTTATCATACTCTCTGGGCAGAAAAATGTAGATCTTGCTGTGGAAGAAGGCCAGTTGGACCATGCTTACAAGTAAGTGTATTATTGTTTTTTCCCCCTCTTTTCCTGCTTTACTTTTACAGAATTTATAGATGTTGCTTGAACAAGTTCTTGTTCCAATTTGACTTGTATTGTATCAAGACTAGTTTGCGTAAAGGAAAAATTCTTGAGATAATCTAATGGTCACCTGAAAATCGCAAAAATATTTGACGCTTCTAGTCAAATCAAATATTTGTTATGCTTTGTATTTTTGGCTTGAATGATGTTAATGATATAACCAATTTCCACTTATGCTTGAACCTATTTTTGGTGAGATTCAAGTTAGACAAAATCTAAATAATTTCAGGATTTTTACTTACCCAATTGGGTTTAAGTAATTCGGAGCAATCTTATTCCCACTTAAACACAAAATTTACAGTTTGGCGAACACCACCTAATATGTGTAATTAATTTTACATTAACATCCTTATTGTGGTTGATCATACTTTTTCATGCCTCTTATAGTATTTACTTTTTATGTAGAAATCATTATCAATTTCTTTGGACTCTAGTCCTCACTAGATTCGACAATATAGACCTATTTTATGTCATCAATCTGGTGGATTAGTGGGGGTTTTTTTTTTTTTTTTTTTTGGCCAAATAGCTATAGTAGCCAGAAGAACACATTTATCAACGAATAATTTTCTCGAAGTAGCAGCCCAATTTTTTTTTGTGCTCTTCCCTTTCTAAGTCTGAATTAGTTCGAGGTTATGTTTATTTACTTTGAAATTGGCCCTTCTGATAGGGGAAGCAATTAACTTGTCATATTTTGACTCTAATTTATTTTCAATTTATCATTTTTCTTGGTAAATGGAATGATTTTACCATACACTTGTGAAAATTGAAAAAAACTACCAATATGTTGCTTTCATGGCGAGTTACTAATTTGGCTCCATCTTTTGATTTTACAAAATCACTGCGGATTGCTAGTCACATTTAATTACTTGAGGAAAATTCAGTCATCGAGCACTCGTATTTTAAGCCATGTGCCTCCGTCAAGAACAAAAATTGTAAAAAGTGATCATGATTAAGGCTGACAAAGCTTATTTAACCATTAAACATGTCATCCATTATTTTGCTTGCCCAAATAAATTAATGCCTCATGAAGCTGGTTTCATTATTGAAGGGTCAAATTTTCTTCTTTATTTACATACTTATGGCGATGAAAAGCAGTTGACAACTTAATACTTGTTTGAGCCCCATTTTTCTTTAAAAAATGCATTTTTGAATAGTGTTGTGATGGAGAATGTGTGGTTAAAAAATAAATAAAGGTTTTGAGTTGGCGTGTAATATTGTTTTATTGAAAAATGTGTGGTTAAAATGATGTCAAATTACTGTTGAAGAATGTATTTTGAAGAAAAAATGGGGCTCAAACAAGGGCTTAGTGTAATGCAACAGTGCTCTGCATTTTGATGTTGTATTTCATAAATAAACCCTTCTCACTCTCTCTCCTGGTTTTTCCTTGCTTGTGACGTGATCACGTTTTGCTTTCAGGTATCTGCCAAAATTATTTGATAGATATACCAGTGCAGAAGGATTTTTATTTCTTAAGGATGATACTATTCTTAATTATTGGAACTTGTTGCAAGCGGATAAGACTAAACTCTGGATCACAAACAAGGTAAATAGCTTGTTCGTCTTTAAGGTTGTCATGGCTGCTTGTGGGTATAAATGCTTCTTAAGGAATGTTTGGCTGAGCTGAAAAAAACTAATACTAAATAAATAGTTTTAAAGGTTTTATTGATTAGAATTGGAAATAAGGAAGTTACTTGTTTTGACAGCAACATAAGAATAACTGTCAAAGTAAGTACTTTGTTTAATTAAAATAACATATCCAAACATGCATGGAAGCAAAATGTTGCTTAAAAGACAAGATAAACAAAAATTATGTTAACAGTGCAAAAAAAAAAAAAAAAAAAAAGTAATTGCATGTCATTATCCTTGGTTTTCTGACAAGATAGCTTGTTGAATCTAATAAAAAACGCATGCATATAGGTATCCGAGTCTTGGACCAGCGTTTCAATTTCTGGGAACTCCGATTGGTTTGTGAAGCAAGCGGACATGGTGAAAAAAGTAGTTGCCACAATGCCAGTTCACCTTCAAGTCAATTACAGAGAAACTGTAAAAGACCACAAGAGTCTCGCAATATGCAATTCTGAGATATTCTATGTTCCTCGCCATTTAGTAGCTGACTTTATCGATCTTGTTAACCTAGTTGGAGATCTAGATATCCATCACAAGGTTGCGATACCAATGTTTTTTTCGGCAATCGCCTTACCTCAGAATTTCGACCCCGTGTTTAGTTCCATGGAATATAAGCAAAATATACCAAGTAACTCTACATCATTTTATTCTGCTGAAGTTCCTGCTGTTCACCCTTGGAACGTGTCGAGCGAGCAAGATTTTATTAAGCTAATAAGAATAATGGCAGCAGGAGATCCTCTCTTAATGGAGTTGGTCTGATGGCAAAAACAAAAACATTTTCGAGTCTAAATGCCTCGAAGAGGAGTGGGGTGCGGTGAAATACATGTACATCCTGTATTGACGAAATATACTGCAGTTTTAGGTACTATTCTTTGAGGAAGAGGTTCCTTTGTAGAGTGTTTTTTCGTAATATTATTTCTTGTTGTAGATTTACTTGCACAGTAACAAACTTTGTAAGAACTCGTATTCTTTTCGGTATTTCAATTTGCTTCTAGGAACATAAGATTTTTTCATTGACGCTGTAATTTGTACATTTATATTACACTTAAAACTTCATACCATAGCAGCTGTTTGCAGAAGTTTGTATTTGTGTTGACTTTTTATTATTGTACACCAGTTTCTATGAGTCTGTTGATGAGTAAAAAGCTGAAATCTTGTTCATATAATACTGTCGAGTTTTGTTCAAAATATGTTGTTGGCTCTGCAAGCTATGAAGATAAGAAAAGTGGTTCGCTCAACTGGTCTAAAACCAGAGGAAAAGAAAGATCTTGATTGAAATAAGCCTTGACAAGCTTTCTTTTGGAAGCATGATCGATCTCTCTATTGTCGAATAATGTCGACAAGATCCTATTTCAATAGTCTGTTGAGTCGATAAAACTCTAAAGGGCATGTCTGGGATTTGCTTGATGAATGTTACTTGGACATGATTGTTGAGGTTTATCGTGTTACAAGTGTTCATTTACCTCTGAAATATTGGCCATTTCAATGTATGTTTGTTTTGACCATCTTTTTACTTATATGTATGTTCCAATTTAAGATTAATCATTAAGATAAAATTACTGGACTCGAAGAACCATATATTTTGATTAAAATTTTGACATGAACGTAATAATTAAACTCGGAATTGGTCACAAATTTTTTCAGCAAGAGTGCTTTTCTTTTGATGGAGCATATTGAAGAAACAAACAAATGGACGCAATTTATGTGATTATATATATACTGAAACTCCTTGTCCATGAATGTGAAATGTGAGAGTGATGAATGAGGAATAATTATGTAGAAGCAAATAGCTGTGTAACGAAACCTAGATTAACGAATACTCATAAACGGGTTTGTTACTTTATTTCAAATTCAACGTGAAGGTAATTTTTCGTCCCAACCTGGCCTAACAGTCAAGGGGTTGAGGCTCCCTTCCCTTCCCTTCCCTTCCCTTCCCTGAATCTTTTCTTTTTCCTTTTTTTCCCCTAAATATACATAAAAATAATTTTATAAAATAAATAAATAATTAATTAAATGGATGGTAAATGAGAATTTTTTTAATTCCGTCACAACTCACGAAAATCCTCGATGAGGTTGGGATGGTACTGATAATTCTAGTTTTGCTCCGTCCCGTCTAGTTATTATCTCTAAAATTGTAAATAATTAATAATTTGAAAACTTGTTGGTTCATCTAAAAACAATTTTTATGATTATTTAATAACAAAAGAAGTGTTTAAATTTGATTTCTTTTCCTTAGTTCAAACTTCGAATCAATGTCCACCCAAAGTACATTTTTAGTGACTAGGTAGAATGGATTGTAATGAGTAGAACCGGGTGAAGGTTCACCAAATGGGTCAATCAACAATAATAATTGTCGGATGTATTAATCTTAGGAAACTCGCCGGGAAGTTACATATGCAGTTTGAATGTGCTCAATATTAATTAATGTAATTCGAATGAGAATATTCAAATTTTGCTAATAAAAGTTACACATCGATGGAAGGCTAGATTAGGGATGGCAATTGGACTCATCGGCTCGTTGGCCCGGTTCGAGACTCAAGCCGAGCCCCATTCTAGAGTTTCAGGCAAAGCCCGAGCTGGCTCGGGGTCGTAGGCCTATATTTATATATTAAAAAAAAATAAAAGATGCATTTTAGAAGCGGTGTGCTATTGCCTTGAATTAAGGCACCAGGTTGTTGCCTTAATTTTGAAAATAAATAAATAAAGTACCAAAATCAAGCATGCTCGGCTCGGCATGCCTGAGCCAAAAGCTCGGGTCAAGCCGTAAAGTCTTGTGCTATGAATGCATAAGCAAGTAAAGAGTACATGTGTTGAGCTACTAAGGAAGTAATAACCCCTAAAGAAGTTAGAGCAAGGCCTAATTGAAAATGAAGCGAATTATTGATTGTGTCATAAAGATCCTTATGCCCTCGTCCAAATCGTCCCCTGGAGGAATATGTGCATTTAAAAGATAGTTCGCCATCAAATCCCAGGGCTCAACCCTAGACAAGCGGTAGAAACTACCAAACTGGAGTACGATAGGGACAGAGGGATTGCCATTTGTTGGCTATTAGTGGCACCCCAAAACGTCCGGGTCGAAATATGGCTTTCAAATTAAGCTCCCGTTTGGCCCCCATTTTGTAGAAATGAAAATGGCTGGAACAGTATTTTTTTGAAAAATGAGTGGTTTAAAAAGAAGGAAAAGTTTTTGATTTACATGTAATATTATTTTATGGAAAATTGTGTGGTTATAAATAGAAGAAAGAAAAATGTAATGTAATGAAATGAAATTTAATGGGGGCCAAACGGGGGCTAAGTTCCGAATTAATGGATGCTGCCAAAGGGAGTAGTTGACAAAAGATACTCAATTTTCTTTCAGCTCGGACTAGAAAAAAAAGTTTGCTCATCTTACTCGACGAGCCCAAGTCTCGAGTTTTGATTCGCGAGCCGGCTCGACTCGATTTGTTGATATCCCTAAGCTAGATTAAAAGTAATATAGCCCCCGTTTGTCCCCTTTATTTTCCATTAAATTATAATTCATTTTTCTCTCTCTCATTATTAATCATACATTTTCCAATAGAATAATATTACATGTAAACTCAAAAACTTTTCTTTCTTTCTTAACTACACATTTTTCAAAAAATTACTATTTCTTTCATTATAATATAAAAAATGAGGGCCAAATGGGGGCATAGTTTGTATAGAAACAAGGGTTCTAAGCATTTTCGAACTTCAACACTGGAGTTTTGCACATTACAGATTTATAATTAGTTTAACTATTTAGAGTCAAAAACTTATCTGTTATTTTACTATTTTTCATGTTTATTATTATTATTATTATTTTTGTTGTTGTTGTTGTTGTTGTGGTATTGATGGTACTCTTGATAGTTAGATTGGATTCTACTAGAGATAATTTAAGAAAAATGAGAGCTCATCAAAACGTGTATTGTTACATGTCATGTTGTGAACAAGTTGACTGGTCACGAACTACAATATTCAAACTAACTCAATACTCGATTTGTTGATTGAAATTAATCATCAAACCTAATTGAATTGAAAACTTATTGAGCTTAGTAGATTCTCATGAGCTTAGTAGATTCTCATGACCATGTCGACGTGAACTTTCTATTGGAATATTTATTGAACTTGCAAATTACCTCAATGATGGAGATAGCAAGCTTCAATGAAATCTTTGCAAAGTAAAGATAGTGAACACATTTAGATGTTCCGTCTTCATTTCCTTTAAAAAAATAACGATACATAAGATACGAAGGGGAAACCATCCCTTCCACATCATTTGTCCTACAATTATAAATATTTAATTGGCTTTTGTACAATCATGCAATTCTAATGTGTCATTACACTCGTCATACTAAAATTACGCAAAAATCACTTTGGAACATTCCTATCTTCGTAATCTCTTATATTATAATCATAATTTTATTTCAAATTTGATTGCTCAAGCACGAGAAATTATATCTCACCCTTGTCGAACCGTTGATATTTGTATTTCGTGATGGTACCTTGACTAAGTTGTTCGTGTCTTCACGATAAATATGATAGAAATGGTATGTGATTGGCCTATTCACTTTTTGTATATTGTAGTGATTGATTGACACAATTCATAGTTATATAAATTTCCTTTTGGGGATTGAGTGGTGTGGGTGGGGCGCGGTCCCCATATCCTTTATTGTTAACCTTTTTTGTTGTTTATCCTCCCATGATAAACAGGCTGTGGGTAGGCCTTCATGCCCATGTTTCCACTTCTGATTTATATATATGCAGATAGCAAGGAAATTCTATATCATTTAAAATTGAAGATCAACTAGGAAAAATGCAGTAGTTTAATGTTCTAGACGTGTATGAAAAATCTAAACAAATGAGTAGGTCCCACATAGTTGCAATGACTGAAAAAATTGGTAGGTGACTCTTAAAATGGTTGGTCCGCGTTAAATGGTGGCTCTAACATAGTGCATGAGAAAGAGCGAGACGATGCAATAAATTGTTAAGAAGTGTTGTCTATAGAGGGCTATACTCCAACGCCCAACTTTTAACAACAGGTAAGCAAGAATAGATTATTATTTTATTATTTGAATTCAAATAATTATTCCCTTAACACTCCTTGAATTTCCTATTTGAAGAGGAAGTGATTGTGATTTCGAATTCATGCATTCAAATACATACAAAATTAGAAGGGCTAGATCTCTCTTTCTTCGTGGAATCATTAAAACGTGCACGAAGAATACTATGCGTCTTCCACTTTTGAACCCATGTACATAGTTTAGATCTCTTTTTCATATTTGTATACACATTCAACAATTGAAATACAAAAATCTTTCTACTTCAATATCACTCGCAAGTAGCAACACCAAATTTATCAATTATTGATGATCTTCAACAAAATTGATGATTGCTGCCTGCGGCCAAAATCAATGTTTCGACTCACCAAGAAATCAAGTATATCCCTCGTGGATGGCTTTAGGGTTGGATCAACTTTATCTTTTCGCACAATGAATTCAAGAAACTTGTCCAAAGACAGTCCAAAGAAAAATTTCGTACATACACCTTTAGCAATTGATGAAGAATCATCGTACATTTGTCATTCCATCAAATTTCAAACATATTAACAAGATCACTTAAACATAGTGAAAACAAAATTGTCCTGCATGGTCCAAACATCAACCTCCCATGTGGGATAACTGCCATGGACCCTTGTAGGGGTGGACGCAGACATTTTACGTAAGGAGGTCACAATCAAATTTTTAAAAAAAGTGACGAATTTTTTTTATTACTTTATATAGGTTATAAACTGTTATACTACTTTTTCATCTTGATTATTTTTACATCTAAAATTTTTATATGTAAAAAAAAAAAAATTCGATCATTTTTAGGATTTTTTTTTATTATTGTTACTTTTTCCTCTCAATCAATTAATTTTTTTAAAAAAATAATCTAATAAATTTTCTAATAAAATTTTTGACATCATTTAAAAAAAATTAATTCATCGAGAGGAAAATGTAACAATAATAAAAACAAATGCTAAAAGTGATTGAATTTTTTTTATATATAAATTTTTTTCAGATATAAAAAAATCAAAATGAAAAAAGTA